TTTAAGAGCAACACAATTGTTTGAATGTTATAATTGCGTCCAATTGTATAGCTGGAAGCCTATCCATACAAAATCAGCTGAGCTGATAAATTTTACGGAACTCAGTCTGATTTATCTTCTAATTTACATTACAGGGAACTGAAAAACAACATTATAAAWGAAATGCAAAAACAATAAAATTTAGAAAGCAAAATCACACTTTGAGAATGGCGAAAAAAAAGCAAACACGATTTGATCTACGTGTCAACATGAACTTCATAAAAAAACTGAAAGTTTTGACATAAATTTAACATATCTTTTGCCTCCAGATTAAAGCATTAATAGGCTGASCTGAAAGTTCAAATATTAAATAATAATTCTAGCCCATTACCTGCACCATGTACCAGCTAGATCGGCTGCCACTCGAGCTTGAACTTCCCCTGTCCTCTTCTTTATCAGGAACAGCCGCCATCTTGAAATTCTTCTTGTTGTTATGGGGTGCGAAAGGACTTATGGGTAATATTTGCGACGAACGAACAGACTCAACAGAGAGGATGAAAGAAGAAAAAATGCAAAGGAAAAGAATAGAAAGTAAAAAATCAGAATAAATAAAATCTCTTTTACAATGACAAAGATAAAAACTAAGTAAAAAGAAAGAATGTAGGTAAGATAAGAAGGCAGAGCTAAGTAAAAATTATTCGTCAAGTGAATTCAAGTAAGAAGTTGAAATCAAGTATTTATTTAATTCATATACGATAGATTTATTTACAAAATAATCATATTCTTCAATTAATAATTACTATTTACAAATACTATCTTTTCGACTAATAAGTCAGTCAAGCCCAACACTTTTACATGTTCATCTTCATGCTGAAGGGCGTTTTGATAAAGCGCAAGGCCTTTGGAATTGTGGGAGTGATGGTGAACTTTACTCCTGAAAAAAAAGAAACATAAAAGAATTTAAGCACAAATGTAGAAAATATCCAACCGGACGTTTTAAAAATGACCTGAATTCTACACAACTTAATTCTCTCGTGGGAAATAGTTGTTTTGCTTGTTTGTTTTTTTAATGTTTTGTGACTGTGAATACGAAATCTCACCTTTAAATGTATTAAAAAATGTAGTGACASTTTGCATCTTTTGTGAAAGACGTGTTTTTAACAGACTCCAGTTTGACACCTGYTCCATAGGAATGGACATAACAGGCTGGTAGACTGGTAGCARGGGMTCAAATCCAACGTAGTTTCTCAACGCTGCCTCTTTTCGAAGTCTGTCAAGCTCAGCACGGCTGGTGGGAATATCACTGAAGGGGCGGGAGGTATCTTTCTTGTCGACTTTCTGTGGAATGTTCTCCTGAGAGAATACATGTACAACGGCTGTACTGACTAWTTCGGTTAGCAAGTCAGTTACCAACTTATGCTCGATATTTTCAGGTGACTTTTGTTGTTTGAAAGGTATAGGTACCTGAAAAAGAGTTCAAAAATCGATAAAGTTCTAAATTTCAACCCCGCCCGTCCATGTGTGCATCGACGCAAAAATTCCCGGCCTGGGAATGACTGTGACGCGCGCGAGGATATTCTGCTTACGTCACAATCACTGTTGAAAATCTCTGTACTTGTACACCGCCAAAGAGTGTCAACCAACTGTTTTCTAAACTTAAATGTTGCTTTTTCTCTAAATTAAGAACATAAAAAAGGTGAAATATCCAAGCGCAGTAAGGATAGCTTTCAAAAAGTCTGTTTTTAATATGAAACTTTCGCAATATATCAAATTATACCGAAGCAGGATTTCCCGCGCTTTTTGGCGCAAAATAAAATCTTAACTTCAGCTTGAAACTTTCTTACCTCGTTAAGATTCTCTCCCTGGGTACCAAACATGTCAAATGGAATGTTTTCGCTTTGTAGAATTTCCATTTTCTTTGGAATTAGTGAAGTAATTTTGAAGTTTGAAGAGCAACTCAATCGCACAACCAGACGATGTAAATCAAGAAACTTGTGAGGAAGGCGCGCGCATGTGGACGTAACAAAGGTTCTCTTCAACCTCGTTCCCAGGGCTACTCTGCTCGCTTTTTTCAAAATCTCTGGGCGCAGAGTAGCCCTGGGAACGAGGTTGAGGTTCTCTTGACAAACAAGACGTCATAACACAGGTAGCCCAAAGTTGACAAGAAGAATACGACTTCATTTATCTTAATTTCTTCTTTACTTTTTTTCTGTTTTCATATTGATATATACTTATTTGAATAGTTTTTCAACATTTTGTACGGTCTAACATGTACATATATGTATGTATTTACAAACATTAACACTTAATTCGGTCCTTTTTGTCACTGGCTAAGCTTAAAACATCCCAGTTTGCACTTGCAAACTTCTTGGAAACCAATAGTCTCCCTCGCATCCATTTTTGACATGAAAACGGATACAAAAGAGACTATAAAACCAACAGTTCAATGAAATACTTGATAAAACTTGGAGCCTTTGCTTCGACTCTCTACTATAAACTTGAGAATAGCATTCCTTTGATAATCTCTCTAATTTTAAATTTCGCAGCTGCAATAACAACTATCTTGTTTTATTATGGCGCGAACAGCTACTGGATTCAGGAGCCAAGCCGTGATTGGTCAATCAAAGGGAAAGGAATGTTGGGCCTGGGTAAACAGTCGTTACTTTCGGGGAGGAAATTTGACGAGACCGGAAGTCGCGGCTGTTAAAAGAGACTATTGTTTTGTTGGTTTTCTCAGCTCTATATCATTGAGCTAAATCCTACACTGTCTAATACTCATCTAATAGGTCCTGTACAATAATCTTTGGCAGTGGAAGCTCAACCAGTTTATCCTTTCGAACAAGTCTTTTGATTGATTCTCGACAGTATTTTTCGAGTCTGTAAACTGTAAAAAAATAAATAAATAAATAAAAAATAAAAACACTACTATTTTTAAGCCTGATTCTCGCAAGCATTGATAAACATGTAAGTAAATGGTACTTGGAAACATACATAAATACATTTTTATGAACAAAAAGTTTACATAAAAACCAAAATATACCAGGAACTGGCGATTATCACAACAMATTCATGTGAAAGTCCAAAATATTGTAACTCACCTGGTGTGGTGATGTTGACATTCAGTCGCCTGACCAMTGCTCTTCTCTGCCTCATATCTATACGAGCAACTTCTGGATTAGGCGGAAAAAAAGTCTCATAAAAGTTCAATAGAAGTTCGTTCCTACTTTCTGTATCCTCAGCTCTCCAAGGGTGTGAAACATATGTATTAAAGTTGATTCCTTGTTCGGATTCAAGCTCAAATTGCACGCGTTGTCTTCCATTGAAGTCGACCCAGATTAGATTTACACGTCTTCCTGTCCTATTTTGAAAGCGAACAGGTGATACTGCATGACTATTGAGAGATTTTACATCTTCCTCTTGCCTTTCTTGRTCATCAGACATTTTTGTGAGCAGAAAAGAAATGCTTTCTKGCTCMACTTTTAGCTTATGTTGTCTGTTCGTCAGCCATTTTGTTTTGAGCTTTTTGAGCCAGYGATGCTTTTGTACAGCGYTCGTGCAACAAAAATGTTTTAAACATTGTTTTTCAATATTGAAAAGGTTATTTCCTCTCTTTTAAGAAGGAAGGTCTAACTTACCACTAATAGCTGTTAGATTTTATTAAATGTATGGCAAAAAATATGTGGAAAATTAAAAATCACTTAAAAATATCTGAATACCATATATGGTATTGAAGGCCTGGTCGCTYAGCATCGTTGTTTTTCAAAAGGAGACAAGATGGCGGCCGATAATGAAATATTTTGCATTAGTCTGAGGAAATTTTTCGCCCTTTAGAGCCCTTCATCTCTCATATTTTCTGGCTATCTGATTGGAAAACAGTGTCGTGGAACCATCATTATGGCATCGAGCCAGGGAAGTGTCGAAGTTTCCACAGAAAATGCCGTCGCTTCATCCGCAATTGAACCACTTTTAAACCTTGCACTAGGTGCCTCCGAGGAGGTGAACACAACGTCGAATAGTAAAGGAAACATAGAAAAAAGTTCATATTTACTTCG